CTGGGGGGGGCAGTGAGAGAGGAAAAGCCCCCCCCCCGTCCAGTATCAGCCCCATGTGTCCATGTTCCATTGAGAAGCGCTAGGAAGGGGCAACAATCCCCTCCAAGCATCCCCCAGCCACTCTTCTCCAAAACCAGGGACTGCTTTCTGTCTGGGGGCTGGGAAGCTGATTTCCTCCTTAGCTCCAGTTAAAAAACACCCAGTGGACCCATCCCCACCGCTACCTGAGCCCTCAGTCCAGCCCAGCCCAATCCAGCCATCATCCCCAGCTGGACCAGCTGCAGCCAGCGACCACCATCACAGCCCAGCATCCCCTGGGAAAGAAAATCCCTGGAGTTGGACTTCAGCTCAAAGGTGTTCAAAGCCCCACAGCTTTCCCCAAAGGGATCTGAACGAGTTTAAGGATGGACAAAGCCTTCAGCATGAGGAAAGCAGGGAAGGCCCTGACTCACTGCAGATTTGGGGCTCCCACAGCTCCGGGCTTGCTTCCTGAATGAAGAGGATCTGAAACCTCTTTCTCCTCCTTCTCCTCCCAAACAACCCCATGGCTGTCTTTTCACCACTCTTATTAGCAGGACACAGTGGCCCACAGCTGAAAGCCCTGCTGAAAAAACAGCCTGGCTCTATCCCTCTCCAAGCTGTAGGAGGAACCAAACCTGGTGCTCAGCACTGACCAAACACAGATTTTCTTCTGACCTCAGGAAAAGACGTAGCCTTAAAAGGGACAAACTCCACGCCCCAGCCAGCTCAGTCCCTTCAGGGCTGAGCAAGAGGAACAAGTGCTGAGCTCCTCCAAACCTCAACCACGGCAGCAGCAGCAGGAGAGGAAGAGCCCCCCCAGGGAAGGGCTCTTCCACAGCTCACTCGCAAAGCGCATTTAAGGGCGAACGCCGCAGGACTGCAGCGTTTTCAGATTTAATAGCAAGCTTGCGCTCATCAGCAGTGGCTTAGACGCGGGGCATCGGAGGCGAGAAGTGGGCGAGCACATGAAATAGCAGAGGTGGACGCGCCGCGCAGCTGGGCACAACAACAGGACTAAAGCCCGAAGTGATGTCATCTGCGAGCAGCTCAACGCGCTGTGGATAAAAGGAGCCCGCAGCTAGTATTTCAACCTTGCCTTGCAAGGCTATTTTTGCTTAGATTGCCAAAATGTAATTACAACTAAATCCCCTCTAACAAATACCGGAGAGCAGCAGGGGAGAGTTGTATTTAAAAGGAATTTTAAGTAGGAGCTGTAGTAGTACCTGATCACAGCGGGGAAAACAAACTGCGCCTGGAAAAAGAGCGTTTGGTTGAGAGTTGGGGACAAACAAGTGGTGAGAGCAGGAACGGGACCATGGGCTCTCAGGAAACACCAAGGGGGATGTCACAGCCCAGGGGACTGCTCTGCTCCCTGCCCAGCCAGGTGCCAGCAGGCACAAACTGCCCGACCATGGGGACCACAGAGCCATTGCCCTCTGTACGCTGAACATTTCCAGACAGGCTAGGACTGACACCCTCAATGCAAAAAACAAACCAAGTATTTTAAACTGTTTTCCCTGCCGGTCCTGACTGCTTTCAGTCTAGACTTCAATAATAACACGAGGAATTTGCAATTGGAGTCGGGAGGCTGAAGGTCTCCTGATCCCCGAGGCCGGTAATTGTCCCGGACACGGGCCACCAGTTCCGGACTCACTACCAAATTGGTGCAAGCAGCCCCTTCTCCCGGGGGACCGTGGAGCACATGGGGCAGGAGGTGCCCCATCTCTGGCCGCTGCCTCCCCTCCTGGGCCCAATGCAAAGGCTCTATTAATAATGACAGGCAATTGTGCGATTCCCCAAGGAACAGGGGAAAGGGCTGAAGCTGTTAATGAGTACAATTAGTGTTGTAGTCAAGCAGAATCAGAGGAAATAATTAGCTCCTATTGTTTCTGTGGCATCCGAACTGCAGCCATGCTGGCTTTCCAGGCAACAACCCATCAGTCAAGCCTCACCCCAGAGGACAGGAGACAGGGGGTCACTCGCAGCCCATCTTTTGGTCACAGTTTTCACACAGCTGTAAGGGGCAGCCTGGGCCATCCCCCTCTTCTGCTGCACCCACTGGGGGTCTGGTTTCCCAGATGGCCAGAGACTTGCAAACGCCAGTGCACCCCTGAAACACACATGGCCCTGCATTCAGCCTGTCCTTGGATCCAACGCAGGGCAGCACCGAGTCAAGCACAGAGTAAAGGCAGCCGAGTGACACCAAACACCTCCTTGTGCTAGCTCAAGGGAAGCTTGCATCCCTCTCCCCGACAAATAGGGCTGGGTGCACAGCACTGCCAACCAGGGAGTATGAAGAAGGGGCAAAGACAAAGCAATCTCATTTTTTAAGCAAGATGTTACATCTCTAACTCCTCTACCTAAATAACTTCACAAATACAGTGAAGTTTAGCTACCACTGGGCACTTGGCGTGCTCTGCTGCTTTACTTAGGTGTGGAGCTCAGGGGAAGATGGCTTTATGAAGCTGGCAGCAGCGTCAGGGCTTACCAGTCTTGAGAAATACCATCCCACCCATTTTTAGACAGAACCAAAAAAAGAGACTGAAAGAAACAAAGAGACCCAATAATTTATTGGCAGAGCTGGAAGGGGGCATTTGAAAACCATAGGGCTGACTCTCGCCTGGGAAGCTCCTCCCAGCTGCAGAGAGATTTTTAATACTGGTATCCCTCAGCAAAAGGCTCTGATGTTGAGGCAGAATCCCAGGGATCCTGCATGCCATGTAGAGAAAGAGAGGAAAAGTGCTGCAAGATGTGTCCCCGAGGGCACGCTGCTAACTTGGAAAGGTTGGTCTCCCGCCCCACGGCTAAAAACAAAGCTTGTGTATGACAAATCAGCCTCTATTGTCACCGCTGCTGGAGGGCTTCGGATGGATCCTTCCGAGGAGGAGCGCGAGAGAGTGGCCCATGAGTCCCTTCAGAGGTCGGAGGGCACTGGTGGAGACCCCTCAGTGCTTTCAACACAAAGAGAGGAGCTTAGTGCCAACTCTGGTTCTCACAACGTGATTTTGGTGTTTCGAAAGCTGGAATTATCTCTGGAAAACAGAGGGAAGAAAGAGGTTAAAAGTGTGCACTGCTTCAGATCACAGCAGCCTCCATTCCACCCACCGTGGCTACTAGTGTTGCCATCCCAGTACATCACTAAAACCAGTGCTGGTTAAACCTCCTAAGCAGATGCTTTCTAACTGGAGACTTCTCACATAACTCAACCTGCTGCTCCACAACACTTCATCGCGAAGTAAAAAAGTGTCATCTCCTGTGAGCAAAGCATATGGATAAGACTTTGGAAACCTCCCTGATATCCTGGTGTTTAAACAGCTTGCAAGATCTCTTCCTTCCCAAACACTTCTCCTCAGGGATTCTGCTCAGAGCACAAAGATACCGTCGGTCCAACCTCCTCCTGCCTCTGTCCCTCGTATTTAGGCTCCTTTTGTCACACTGTCAACAGGTTTAGCACTCTGGCCTCTCCTACCTTAAAAGAGTATCTAACCTGAAAGGGACATTTCCCTCAAGTTTAAACAGAAGAGTTTCTTCAGCAGCTTTTCCTCACGTGAGTCACAGGGGCTACTTATAAAGAAAGGACTGCCAGTCCACAACTTCACTTGTAGTCCTGTGGCACACAGCAGCAATGGAAGATGGGGCAAGTTACAGGACCCTGTGTTAATGCTTACTGCCAGCCAGCAGCAGCAACAGGCAGAGCTTATTTACCCATTCATAGCAAGGTGGTGTGGATTTTTAAACTCCAATGGAAATAAATGAGATTACGATTCTTTTGAGAGGATCAGTTTGGCAGCTCCTTCCATAACAGGTACAGGGCAGTCAGATGCCCAAACCAAACACCCAGGGATGCCCCAGCACGTAAAACACCAAATCAGCAGAGCTGTGTTGAGGAGCAAAGGCAGCAAAGCTTCAGGAGCAAAGTGCTCTGCAAAACCTTGCTGAAACCCTTGAGCCAGCACTGTGTGCTGCTAAGAGCTGCACAGGAGCTTTAACAGCACAGTACATGCTGCAACACCTCCAGGAGATGGGCTGGAGGAACAGAAGGAAGGAAAAAACACTTTTTAGAGAGTTAAACAAGTTATTCTGCTATGATATAACAGCAAAAACCGTGCTGGAGGCCATCTGCAGAAGACTGGGGTTTACCTTTGCACTTGCCAGCAAAGCAGGCTGTGCTGCCATTTGGGAACATAATTCAGGATTCATTAACTGGATTCTAGTTAATTTGCAACAACGATTTGGTTCTCCATCCCATACTGTACTTTCACCCGTGCCATCTACCTCAGGAGGACAGCACACCTTGGTTTGTTCTTTCTCAGACATGTTTCTACATTTCCCCTCCTTTCACCTTTATTGGGGTGCCTCTGCTCATCTCTACTCTCCCTGCTCAGCATAGGTAACCCAACACATCGAGAGCTACATCAACGCTGTCGCTGTTTTCCTATACATGTGGCACATTTACTGCCTGCTGAGATTGGTACTTCATGAAGTGAGCTGGTTTCCTCTTCTGGAAGGTCACCTGAATGTCATCTAACAGTAATATCACTACTAGGCACCTGTGTAACATTTTGTAACCATTAATCCTCACAAAAAGATAAAAATCTGTGAGGAAAGACAGATATTATTTTCATGCATGACTTCAGAGCGAGCTACGAGAACGCTGCTTGCTCCCATCTGTGGAGGGAGGTTCTGGGCTCCCCAGTGGCCCCTCAGAGCTCAGCTGTGTTGGAGCAGCTACAAACCACCATGGGGTGGGAACTGGGCAATGTCCCGCTTCCTTCCAGGGGCTTCCTCTGCTTTGGCACTCGGCACTGAAACAATCCCCTTTGGCTACAACCAAATGCAAGTCATCGCCAGGCCTCCTGCTAGCCCATGCTAAGGAAAGGGCCTGCCACCAGGGAATTGGGCACTAGAGGGGAAAACCAACCTGAGCTGCGAGGCTCGCAGCAGCCCTGGGCTCACCTTGGCTGTTTTCTCTGCACATGGTTGGTTGCCACTACCAGAAGTAACAGGTGGCTCCATCTCATTAACCACAGCAGTATTATTTCTAAATACAGTAGCTACTGTGTGCCCTTCCTGACCAAGCTTTTATTGACAGACTGATTTACTCGGCAACAGCCCAGCGTCAGGAGCAAAGGCACGAATGCCAAGCTCCAGGCACCTTCCTCGGTGTCCATCACATGGATGTGCATAGCATTCATTTACCACTCGATATCTGCTTACAGTTAACCCTAGGCAACAGACCCAAGCTGAAGACGTACCTCTCAGCCTCCTGGGACCAGGCCTGGGACACAAGCGCCTCGCATAGAGGAAGGACACATTAGCGAAATAACACGCAGCATCGCAACAGAAAACGCTGAGTGAATGGAGACCACTGTGAATCTTGGTGGTTTTGGTCAAAAAAAAAAAAAGAAGAAACATTTAAAAATGTTGACCTTTGGGAAAGAGCCAAGAGGAGAATGGGCCCACCAGCAGGCCCACAAGGCAAGAGAAGGTGCCAGCCCACAGGAAGATGGTCGGAGGCTGAGAGGTACGCCATGAAGCCACATAGGAAAAAAGATGAGGCCCTACCCTGGGTGTGACAGAGGGAGGGGGAGCGTTGGATCAGCGGCCACTGCTGTTCACCAGGCCATGAAACTCCTCCCAGGCCCTGGCAAGCCAGAGGGAAACAAAAAATGAAACAAAAAATAAAAAAACAGCACTTCAGATCAAAGGCTTCTTAACTTTTAACGAGAGCAGAAACATTCAATGGCGTTTGAAAGGCACTTGTCTTCAGAGAGCAAGGCAACATTCTCTGATAGCCCTAGTGGGCAGAAGCATCCTTAAAACCCAGCCAAACATCTGACAGCGCGAAGCAGCCTTAACGTTCTGTGCAGACAGGAAGCGTTCCCACTGGCTGCTGGTGATACAGCCACATTAATACCCAGAGACAGGTACGACCTTCCCAGGCACACACAGAATATCCATTTCCAATTGCTAATAAAATAGCCCATGTTACATCTTCCTGGAGGATTATCACGTTCCTTAGCCGGTTACGCTCAGCCAGTTACATGGGCTCATGCTTCACCACACACCTGTGTATGTAGTAATTCCCCCCAAAAGGGGCTACTTTTAATGGCACATGGCTTAGTCATTACGAAATTCTTCGATCGGGCAGAATTGTTATTAGAAAGTCTCATTTCCTATTGTAAACCTGCATTGTTAAAGAGGATCCAGTAAAAACATTGCAGCTATTGGAATTGAAAAAGTGTTCTCAGATAAGTTAGAGAGACAGGCCTAACGCTGCAGTCCCCGGTGGAGAACGCTGCTGACGGATGAAGCTAGCAGACTGAAAAATTGCTGTCTGTTTTACAGAGGCAGCATACTGAAAGCCCTCTCAGGGAAAAGACGCTGAGGTTAATGTGAGCAGGATTATTATCTTCTGGGATCAGAGGCATCAAAGAACTTCATAGCTCTCCATGCCCAGCAAAACAGTGCTGGTGCCTACAGCACACACCAAACCATTTACTGAACCCAGAGAGCCCCATGGAGCTGCTGGGACCTTAAAGGGAGCATGGCTCAGCCATAAACCCTCACCATCCTGCAGATTTGGTGGCTGGTGCTCCGCAGCTACCTCACATCTTGTATTCTGCATTGCCTCATCAGGCCACTGCAACACAACAGCAGTCCAGAAATGGAAGTCCTGTATTAGTCAGCATCCATGCCAAAAACGGACCCCCAGCCTAGCCCTCACCTGAGCCTCAGAGGAAAGCTCCTGTTCACCATCTGCAAACGTAGCTCACGTGCTCTTTCCCAGCAAAGTCACAACCCAAACAAATGCAGAGTATGCTGGCAGAGGGCCCATCACGTGCACTCTGCCAGACTGGACACCACATATGGGCAAGTGCTGCTGAGAGCCCAACAACGAGGGCACAAGCGAGATGCCTGTCACTGTGGGGCACAGCTCGGAGGCTGTGACACTGCCTTCCCCCGCCACAGTACAGCAAATCCCTCTTTTCAAAGTGCTGAAGGTGGAAACCCAAAGATGTAAAAATGCAGGGCAAAATCAAGGGTGAGTCAGTCTACAGGAGAAGGACCAGCTGATGCGCCTCACAGATGATTGCTGAGGTCAGATCTGCAACTCAGCTTGACATACAGCAGTATAGAGGAGAGACAAACCCACGAGCAGCTCATTCTAACCCAGGCAGCAGCACTGAGGCCCCTAAATAGGAACCTTCTCCACAAGTCTGCCCAGACACAGCCCTCTTCAAGGCCAGGAAATCTTCCAGAGAAAGGAAAACTGCCTATGCCATGCAGTCAGCACATGGTGCAGAGGCTGTGGGTACAACTGCCTCTCTCCAGAAGAAAGTTAGGGGGAAGAAAAACTCTTGACCTGAAGTCCTTTTAGCTGCTGGCTACAGCTTGGAAAGTGTGCACACCCTCAGCCTTTTTAAAGTTTGTAAGTGTCTTCCCTGCAACTCCCCATCCCTCATATTTCTATCACATCCCCATCACCCATAATCACATCTCTCTTTCCTCTCCCACCATGCTCCCCAAACTTGTAACTTCCATTCTCTGCAGAAGGGACAAGGGCAGATTATTTGTCAACATAATCAATAATTTATTACCCCTTTCGTACCAAGGAGTTCCCTGCTTCGACATCCCAATAACAGCATGCACAGAGTCCTTCAGCTGCCAAGTCCTTCTCACAGAAATAAAGAAAAAGCTCTTCCAGCCAAGAATTTTTAAGCCAAGACCCTCATCCATATTATAGTACTAATTACTCCAACTATCTGCTGACTTGACTGAAAAAATCCACCAGGATGTGTCTGCCCTAATGTACCTAAACTGTGCTAGCAGAGCAAACTGCTCTGCATTTCGTACCGAACAAGGCTGCCAGTTAATTTCGTCTGGCAGAATCTTTACGACCTGTGATGTGCCAAAGGCACGGTGCCAGAGAATCTAAGAGGTTATTTTTATGTATAGACATTTTTAGTACCTTATTGCTATACTGTCTGCGCAGCGATCAGACACTCAGCGAATTGATCCCCAACACTTA